TTATGAAAAAAAATTCCCAAAAATATAAATTATACATCAAATGAAAGCTTATTCTATAAGCTTTCTTTGTTTTTAGAAACATTTTTCTGTATAATTTACAGAAAGATCCCAAAAATACACAGGAACGACTTATACTCAAAAAACGCAAAAAGCCTTGTTACACTGCAAAAGAATCCGGTATTCAAGGGTTTGCACTACAAAAGAATCCGGTATCCAGAGGGCTGTCTCTTATACACATCTAGATGTGTATAAGAGACAGGCTCTCACTTTTGTATTTAAATTACCATGTCAGTTACTCCATGAGGTAAATGCAGTAGAATATATTATAATAATAACATCTAACAAAACAAAATATATGCCATAAACTCAGTTAATTTACTATATTTTGAGTTTTGTTTTCAAAATGTTAGATTTGCTTTAATATATTTTAATATACTAGTATAGTTAATAATTTAACAACAAAAAAGAAATTACATGCTATTGAAAACATAATGAAATCATTTAAATTCATTGAAAGCAAAATACAAAAAAGAAATTTAATTCTAATTATTGAAGGCAATGAAATCATATTGAAATATAAATAAATCCGACAAAAAGAAAATACACTATCTGTAACAAAAACATTCATGAATTCATATTTCAGAAGAAGAAATTAAAAGGAATTCTTTCGAGAAACTTCTTGTGCTAGATGAATATGATTTATGGTTGAAGAGTGTGCATTGATTTGAGTTAAGGTGCTTAAAGATGCAAAGACAATTTAAACACAATTATTAATGAGAATTCTTCATCATTAATTCTTGTCTAATTGGCATGATTATAACAACAATAAGTAAAATTGAATAACTGGAAAATCAACAACCCTAATAATTCTGTAGACTTGATTAGAATAAGATTTTTGTTTTTTTAGCAAATGCATAGTGGTAACTTTCTATGAATATTTGTCAGTATTTTGTGTGCTTAATAATGTATGAAATATTTATGACAAAGCAAATGCATGAAGTGAAGATTACTGCTGGGTATCGTTGCTCAATATTTCCATATGGTGTCTGCTTTTTCTGATTTGTCATCAACAACCATAATAATTCCATATTGAACATAAAAGTCTTGTACAAGTTCATCTTCCCCCTCTATTTCCCCATGCAAATGTAGTATAATACAAAGTATATTTAATTTTTTTAATATTATTTTAATATGAATTTTTGCCCTGAATTTTTTAAATCTTAAATTGAAGTGTATGTTTTTTTTTTTTTTTTTTTTTTTTTGCAGACAGTTTTATCTTTAAAATGTCTTACTGGTATCTACTATCATCAATACTGCTACTTATCCTATATCTTATTTCAGAGTTAATATCTTTAAACATAGGTTATGCACAAGCTTTAATTAATTTATTTATTTAATCTATCTCAATAATATTTTGTGAGGGTGGTCCATCCAGGCAGAGCTGATCAATTGGGACCCTCAGGACAAAAGTATAAAAATTAAACTAGATTTTTCACATAAACAAATTAAATAAATTAAAACAGAAAAATAAAAAATCAGAAAAAAAGAGTAATGATTTGAAGAAAAACATTAAAACTAAAAATTAACATAATGAAAAAACTAAAATTGACACAATAAACAGAAACAAATTAAAATAATTAATTAAGAGAATTAAAGAGAAGATACTAAATTAAACTAACATAAATATAAATATCTTTAATAAACAAATATATAAAAGATAAATAAATTACTATACAAGACAGAGAAAAATCAAATTTTAAAAATATTGCAACAAAATGAAATGGCCACAGGGAAAAGTACACAAGATTTTGGATAGAAGATAACTCATAAGGTTAAATTTGAAATAAGAGAAAGAGAAATCAGAATGAACAATCGGTGGAAAAGAGTTGTAGAGATAAGGAGCATTATAGCTGAATTGATTATCAAGATTAAACAGCTATATTTCCTTAGACAAAGCACCATCCTTATATTTTATAATAATATAAGTGGATAATACGGTAGTAAAAACAGATAGGATAGAGCCGGTGGCATAATTTGGTGGCATTTTAAACAATTTCTTTATTTTATTTGTCTCAAAATTTAAAAAAATAAACAATTTTGAACCTATAGGATCACAAGATTTAAAAGCAACAGGGCAGGGGTTTCTTCCAAGATGGCGTGAGGTACCATTAATCAATGTGTGGTCTGAGGAAGTAGGTTTAACGATGTTTCCTTTCCGATGGAAGCGATTTTCCGCAGTGGGAGTGATTTGGTTTCTCAACCTCGAGGTCCAGGTTTCAATCCCTTGCTGTGAACTTTGCTTGCGTCCTTGAACAACACACTCTATCTACATTACTTCAGTCTACCCATCTGTATCAATGGATAGCAGCAAATTGCTGGGAATACCCAGTCGTTTACCAGCGGCCTACCCAGGGGGATTATTACTCTCTCATCCACTCACGCTACAGAAACTGGATATAAGTTCCAGCCCAGCAAGGATTTACTTTTCCCCCTCTCCTATGGTGATTAGGGCATGTATCCTCCTGGAAGCTCAATAATGTTATCATTTTTATTTCTAGGTTAGATTTTTTTTTCTTTCCCCCCCCCCCCTTTTTTTTTTTGCTGCTGCCAGAGTTTGAGGATGAAGGGGTAGTATGACGAGCGATATGTCTGCCATTAGGCCTACCTGTTCACCACTAACAAGCATCTTTATGACCAAGCTACGTCAAATTTAATACAGAATTTACAAATTTAAGATAGTTGTTGACATGTCAGACCATTATAAAGAACCCTTTTAAAATAATTATAAAGTTTGGTTCACTACAAAAAGGATCCACTGGAAACAAGAGTTCTGACTTAATGTGATAACACAAAAAAATATCCTACCCTCCTTATATCATGCAAAAATTCCTTACCGTCTGTCCTCTTTGCTGTTACAAGATTTTGGATAAAAGATAACTCAGAAGGTTAAATTTGAAATAAGAGAAAGAGAAAGCAGAATGAACAATCGGTGGAAAAGAGTTGTAGAGATAAGGAGCATTATAGCTGAATTGATTATCAAGATTAAACAGCTATATTTCCATAGACGAAAGCACCATCCTTATATTTTATAATAATATAAGCGGATAATACGGTAGTAAAAACAGATAGGATAGAGCCGGTGGCATAATTTGGTGGCATTTTAAACAATTTCTTTATTTTATTTGTCTCAAAATTTAAAAAAATAAACAATTTTGAACCTATAGGATCACAAGATTTAAAAGCAACAGTGCAGGGGTTTCTGCCAAGATGGCGTGAGGTACCATTAATCAATGTGTGGTCTGAGGGAGTAGGTTTAGCGATGTTTCCTTTCCGATGGAAGCGATTTTCCGCAGTGGGAGTGATTTGGTTTCTCAACCTCGAGGTCCAGGTTTCAATCCCTTGCTGTGAACTTTGCTTGCGTCCTTGAACAACACACTCTATCTACATTACTTCAGTCTACCCATCTGTATCAATGGATACCAGCAAATTGCTGGGAATACCCAGTCGTTTACCAGCGGCCTACCCAGGGGGATTATTACTCTCTCATCCACTCACGCTACAGAACTGGATATAAGTTCCAGCCCAGCAAGGATTTACTTTTTCCCCTCTCCTATGGTGATTAGGGCATGTATCCTCCTGGAAGCTCAATAATGTTATCATTTTTATTTCTAGGTTAGATTTTTTTTTCTTTTTTTCCCCCCTCTTTTTTTTTTTGCTGCTGCCAGAGTTTGAGGATGAAGGGGTAGTATGACGACCGATATGTCTGCCATTAGGCCTACCTGTTCACCACTAACAAGCATCTTTATGACCAAGCTACGTCAAATTTAATACAGAATTTACAAATTTAAGATAGTTGTTGACATGTCAGACCATTATAAAGAACCCTTTAAAAATAATTACAAAGTTTGGTTCACTACAAAAAGGATCCACTGGAAACAAGAGTTCTGACTTAATGTGATAACACAAAAAAATATCCTACCCTCCTTATATTATGCAAAAATTCCTTACCGTCTGTCCTCTTTGCTGTTGGAGTGATAGCTGTGAACACCATTAACAATGCCATTGTAAGGGCATGTAGCGCTGAACGGCTGGTCAAAATCATTAATGTATCCAGTCCATGTACATTTTGAAAAGCTTACAGGAAATGATCTGTGTATTAAGAAAGAAGGCATTCATTCATCAGGATTTATTTGGTTAAAATTTGTAGATTTCAAAATGTAAATTTTACACTTTAGAAAATAACGATATGTAAATATGTATTTTCTATTTGATAGCAAATGTGTAAAATAAAGTTCCACAATTACCTGCAAAAGAATTCAAAGAGGCGGTCTTCTTTGCTATTGTCGTGTTGTGATACTATCTTGTAGATGGCTTGGTTACTGGGGCATTGAAAGTTTAAATCACTATCCCAGTTGTTATCCCAATCAGCGGAGAACGCCGCTAGGCAAAGAGGGAGTGCTAGCACCAAACCAAGGAAAACCTTCATTGTTCTTGTTCTAATGTTAGAATTAAAAAATGGCATCATTCATTAACAAATAATCGCCAGAGTTAAAGCATTGAACTTTTTTGAAAGCATTCAATGTTCTAATTTCAAAAAAGTAATTTCAATTAAATACAACGAAACAACCTAATAAATCATAAAGAAAAATTAAAGAATTAATATACCACAAGAAAATTTAAAGAATTAATATACCACAGGTCACAATAATATTGTCTGTATATTGTCACAACAATATTGTTTTTTTTTCAAAACTTATTTTTTAAGAGTCACAGAAAAGTATCATCTAAAGTAATTAGCAAACTTAACTAATACAAGTAAATTGATTTTGATGCAGGAGGATAAATTTCCGTTAGACAAAGTAGAACAATTGCGCCGAATCTGCTGTGTGACAAGAAATTAAATCTGGGGGTTTTAGTCATGAAATTTAAGCTCTTCTGGACTGTTAAGCAATGGTTAAGCAATAATCGCCAGAGTTCAAGCATTGAACTTTTTTGAAAGCATTCAACGTTCTAATTTCAAAAAAGTAATTTCAATTAATTACAACGAAACAACCTAATAAATCATAAAGAAAATTTAAAGAATTAATATACCACAGGTCACAATAATATTGTCTGTATATTGTCACAACAATATTGTTTTTTTTTTTTCAAAACTTATTTTTCAAGAGTCACAGAAAAGTATCATCTAAAGTAATTAGCAAACTTAACTAATAGAAGTAAATTGATTTCGATGCAGGAGGATAAATTTCCGTTAGACAAAGTAGAACAATTGCGCCGAATCTGCTATGTGAGCAATTAAATCTGGGGGTTTTAGTCATGAAATTTAAGCTATTCTGGACTGTTAAGCAATGGGTCACAACATTTATGTTCATGGTCACCATGTTGCTACATGTACGATAGTAATGTACATATAGAATAAAATTTTACACGGACTATGAATAATAACAAAGGGTTTCTTGCACATTTATACTATAATACAAAAAAAAATAAAAAACATAAACCAACAACAAATTTCCAGGCTTTTTGGAGACTGTAAAAGTGTTTTTATTGTAAAGAAGTAAAAACGATTTGTTGTATTTCGGAAATGTTTTTCACCAATCGAATATGCTGATTGCAATTTGTCACTTATTTCATTAGGTTCAATAATATTGGTTAACATTTCCGAACACTAAATATGGCAGTATTATTTCCGATGTTAGCAAGTTGGATACTGGACGGTAATTATTAAATTTGAGAGAGATGTTTAAAATGATAGGTGTAACTGTTGCTGTTCTATGATTGGAGGGAATTTAGTAATTTAATATAAATTTTTAGCAAGTGGAAATATTGGGGGAAATAACAGTAACACAGTCCTTCAACCGCCAGGTAGGTAAGGGGTGAAGTGAATCGGGTTTCTTTTTTTATGTATCATCTTGTCTGTTTTTCCAAGGGTGGTTATTATATAATGGTGGTGAAAACTTTTAATGTTAGTATGTTCAGGCTAAAACTTGCATGCAGGTGCATCATCTCTAGACACGGTAATTCCATGGGCATTATTGTTCAGTTATTATCTATTCTTTTCTTCTGTCTAAAATGATTTGCAAAGCTATTATACACTTTGTTTCTTATTAATACACGATGGTAGTGTTCTATGAGTTTTAACCAATACCGAGTTTAAAGTCTGATAATTCTTGATATGATAAAATGAAGGAAATAATCGTTATTCATGTCATCCTCAAGCATGTTATTATCTATCAGCAGTATAGAAAATAAATCCATTAAGTGGAAACTAAGCGTCCAAAGCGCCAACATGCTAACTCATACTAATTTTAGAAAGAAGAAAAATTACTAGTAACTTATTAGGTCCTTGCACAAGCCTAGATGAAATAAAAAGCCTATCGCATCATCCCTTTAGGTCTAGAATAGAATTTATTCATAGCGTTTTTGTATAGTATTTTAGATGCGTACTGTTTTTAAAGATTATTTTAAATACACAACATCCTTTAAAACACATGTAAAAGTCATAGTGTTAAAATTGATCAAATTTTTATTTTATTAAATTTTCTTTAAATGAATTGATCCTGAGAGTGGAAAAAATTATTTAAAAAAAAATGAAAGTATTTTCTTCCCTATACCTGAACTCCTCCTCAGAACATATAGCACGCTAAAAATACATAGACAGATTTATGTACTTCGCTCGATAGACATATATGGGTATTATTTTCCAATCTATGCAGCCATACCGGAGATAGGCACCTATTTGGCTAAACAGATCATCACATAAACAATTTAAAGGAGATGTACCGATCATCAACATCTACCTGAACGATGTGTAAACGTTCGCATTATTTGTTACTTGTCACTAATACACCTGCTGATTGCGAAATAATGAAAAGTAGATTAACGCAGGCCAAACATTAAAACATTTAAACGCTATGGACAAACATAGGCGTACACAATTTACAATAGAAACTATAAAGGATACACAATCAATTTCTTCGACATTAACATCACAATTCAAAAAAAATTGACACACTAAGAAGTGTTCAGAAACCAAACACGCTAATCACTATCTAAATATTACATCTCAACACCTCATTGTACATAAACTCACTTTAGTCCAAAAAGAACAATTTAGTCATTTATTAAAAAGATAGAAAGAAGAAAGACTAAAATCCGCCTCTACACGTATTGGTAGGCCTACACAGACAAAAAAAAAAAAAAACCAAAAAAACACACAGAAAAAAAAAAAAAAAAAAAGAAAGCAACGTACCGAATTTATACATTGGATTATCGGTGGAAAAAAATAAAAAGAGCACTTTTTACCCAGAAAATAATGGATACTATAAACCATAAATAATAATATGCAACATATTTGTACATTTCAGAGACAAAATTATGGACGACAAAGTACGTGACATTATCTACTCTGTTGGATGCCAAAACTGCAGTTCCGTTTAAGTAAACGGGAAAGTCCAAAAAAAAGAAAAAGAAAAAAAAAAAAAAAAAAAAAAAAAGAAAAAAGAAAGAAAAAGAAATAATTAATCGCCCAAAAGCCTCAAAGGTTATTTTCGGGAGCCTAGAAAACAAACCTTTCGCGGGGCATGCATTCGAGAAGAGAGGTGGTTACTAAGGTGTACTGGTCCATTTCAGTCCCCTGTTCGGCCATAGATGGAGCGCTTACGTTGCGGTCTACGTTAGGATGGTATCCTATATGCAAATCCTTCTACCAAGTACGTAAGCAAGACCATACACACTATCTACGAGAAGACCGAGAAGTGGCAAAAGGCTGGATGGCAGCCGGCCTAAGTGGCAAAAGGCCGAGTGGCGATTTTGTCTAATAAAAAAGTTTGCTAGAAAATGACCGAAAATGCTGTTTTGACCTTTGACATGTTTCAAATGTCATAGATCTGTCTCTTATACACATCTAGATGTGTATAAGAGACAGACCTATATGAGCCAACTGAGCTTTTAAAAATCAAATTGAAAGAATAATGTTAGAAACTTACAATCTGGTATAATACACCAACAGGTACTAGAAAATCTGGCAAGTATACCACAATAGGTATTATTTATAGGCAATTGTTATCTCCAGCATTAAATATATCATCTTAATTTGTACAGCAACTATATAGACACGTCGTAATTAATATTGAAAACTGATAACGTATTACAATAATATCTTATCAAATTAACTTATCTGTAGAATGTGTTCTATCGGTATTGTCAGACCAAGTTTTTCACGCTATATAGAAGAGATATCAGAATTAATGATTTGAGTAATCTTGTTTACAGCTTTACTAATACAAGTGTGCTTATGCTTGTGTCAGCTCCAATAACGATGTTAATTTATTAATTTTCTATACCATATGTACCTATAGTTATTTTTAGATAAGTGTTCGTGTACATTCCCATTGTAAAGGTAATCGAAATAGATATTGAAGATGTAAATTAATCTGTTAATATACAGTACAATACTTGAAATATTTGAAAACTACACCTTTCCATCTGCGGAACACGTCACGCATAGCATAGAGACGGTGCGTTCATAAAAGAAAACAACTTTAAATCAAATAATATAGACATAACACGGCAAATCAAAACATATATACATAAACACGGAAATGTATAAGCCGTGAAATAGATATTGAAGATGTAAATTATTCTGTTAATATACAATACAATACTTTATTTGAAAACTACGCTTTTCCATCGGCGGCACACGTCACGCTTAGCATAGAGACGGTGCGTTCATAAAAGAAAACAACTTAAAATAAATAATATATACATAAACACGGGCAATGTACAAGCCGTGATAATAAAATTCTTAAAACTCGATGATTCTTCATGAACAGTAGGTATGCATTACGTCAAGTCTTAATTTTACTATTTAAAACAACATATCTCTATTTCTTCGATTTAAAGTACGACATAAGATAGATTCGTTTATACAAATAAATTAATTCACATCAATTAGGTTTTACAATTTAAAATATCATTTCTTTGTTGGCATGCTATTTTGAAGTGCAAGATACACAGATCGTTCATAAATTTGGCAGAGTATCCCAGAAGTATACATCTTATTGTTACAACCTCCTCTCATGAATAAGTGCCATATATATTATAATCAGAAAAGGATGTGATTTTGTTTTTGGCAGCGATATTTTCATCAGAGCTACATGTCAACATAAAATGTATAATATACTCCTCATTTTCATTACATAGAAGGCAGCACTTTTTTAAAGTCGGATCTTATTTACACACTTCGGTTGGAGGGTATTGGATCGTGCTTTAAATTTTTAACAGCTTCCATAAAAATCAGCTTCATTTTTAAAATAATCTTCCATTTTGGGAAATTCTTATATTCTAATGTAATGATTAAGGGATGATTTATTGACTGCATTAAATCCGGTTATAATTGCACAGGTCGTTGTTTTATTTTTGAATGTACTAACCCATGTACGGGCAAAGGATTCATGCATCTCACAGTTATTCAGTGCATTTCTCACCGTAGCCAAAAATGTGTCTCATGCTCTCTTCTGTACATGTGAAGTACATTGAAGCGTTAAATAAGAGTTTTGGCCACCTGTGGATTTCCATATTTTGCAACCTCAAAAAATAATTTACTCTTGTATATTTTTGGGTAACACGGATCGGTTGCCACCCCGAATCTCCAAGTAAGGCTTCTATGGGGGTGTTGCAACTTGCCTTTAATATATGTCTGGCCAAATGTGTTTCTAACCTTTGACATGTTTCAAGGTCATATCAATAAGGTCATTATATCTCTGCAAACCCTGCTGGTAAAGAGTTAAGTGTGGTGTCAACATGTTTGGAACATTAATGTTTCTATTTTGTCTAATAAAAAAGTTTGCTAGAAAATGACCGAAAATGCTGTTTTGACCTTTGACATGTTTCAAATGTCATAGATATTGAGTCCTTATTATCTCCACAACTACTGATGGTAGAATAGAATAGAATAGAACATTTATATAGCGCCGGTATCCGCCAAAAAATTACGCTCATGGCGCTTCTGAAAGTGTTTCATCACCTACTGTATATGCAGCACAGAAAAGGAATGTTTTTAGATCTCTCCTGAGGCTTCCAAGATCCTGTATCATTCTAATCTGGATGGGGAGACTGTACTTGTGCCGAGGCTACGACAAAAGAGTGTTCCCTCCACCTGGTATTCGATGATATTTCAGAGAGTTAATTTTGTTCCGAATACTCATGTTTCTATTTGCGCTAACAGAACATTTTACTAAAATATGACCGGAAAAGCCGTTCTGACCCTTGACATGTTTCAATGCATATGCATATCCCTATACATGCTTACTGTAGAGAATTGTTTGTGATCTCAAATTATTCATTTACACATGTTTCTGTTTACTTGATTGGAACCTTTAGTTAAAACAAATATGGCGATACTGACCATTCACCCATGTTATATGGCATTTATCACATGCGGCTAGTGTTGACAATAGATTTCTTATATTATATATATATATATATATATATATGTATATATATAATATAATATAATCATCAAAGGTACATATACAGTGTTTAAATAAGGACATAATGGAACATCGTAGGCTACCCTGTAGCTTTTCAAGGAATAAAGTCCTATAAAATTCATTGTGTAATAAAATGCCTCCGACGGGATTTGAACCTGGGACCTCTCGCTGACAAGGCGATGTTCATATCCACTAGACCACGAAGACTTCATGGTTGAACAGGTCCAAATAACCGTCGGGAACATTGTATTACACAATGCTACGCCTCAAAAGGGCGTTCGACCAGATAAATCTGGAGATACTGTACGGCTACAAATAAATACTTATATTGAAGGAAGTTAGCCGTTAACAGACGATGATGTTAAGACAGACACATTTGACCAAAGTAAGCCAATTAACACTGAGAAAAATGACAACATAACCTAGTGTAATGAAATTATTCAAAACAGACCATTAAGAGTGAGGAAGAAACCAAAACAGTTTTATGATTTTAAGGATTAATATGAATAAGTCACAGTTACAGTTGTTTTTAGCTTTTTACCTGTGATTAAATAAAGGGCTCTTTGTAGTCTGTATACCCGCTTTAAGGACGACAGCAGAGCCCACTGCCTTAAATTGACCAAGGGCCTCTCTTACACACTGGTCATTCTGCTAATCTGATTGCACCAATCCGAAAACAATCTCATGATAGGAATTTACGTAATGGAAATATTTTTTCCACAACTTAAATGCAAAACCAAAAATCACTCAACACCTCATAATTCCAATTCCCTGTCACCCTGGCGTTTGAAGTAGTGGTTGCTCCCCTCTCTTAGATCGATAAGGTTTCTCTATTTTTCACTTTTTTTTTCATTCTTGGCAAAATTTCGCAAAAAAAAAAAAATCATATCCATTACTCTAATTATTATAAACCAGGTCATTTATTGGCATAAAGTTTAGTTAAAATGAGAATTAGAGATTCTATATCACATTAGGAGAGTACTATTTCCTCGACGACTTCGTTACAAGGCGTAGATCGCCTTTGCTGGCATGCTTTCACCAGCGGCTATTTTGTGTATATTTTATACAGTCGAACGTCCGAGATAGGTAGGGTAATTGTTTCGCGAACCCGTCGCATTCTTCTTTATTTTTTATCTCACCCACTAATGCCATGAACTTTCATAAGATATTTTCATTAGGCCTATTCATTAATCCAATTAACTAAACTGTCTACGTTGCAGATACGATATTGTGCAATAAATAAAGTGCGTTCTCAATAATGAGATTAGATTTGTACCTCGTACCACTGTAGTCGATAGAGTAGACCTGAGATTGTGTTTGTTTAATTGTCAAAATTTCACTCAGAATCGTTTTTAACAAGTTTAAAATAATTCAAAATAAAATAAAAAATTGACGATAATGGAATCGAATTGTCATAAATAAAATGTGACTTGTTTTTCTGTGATTTTTTGAATAAAGAAAGATATAATATTACATAAAATGATTTAGAGTTTTATCATTCCGTAAACAAATGGTTATAAATGGTATTAAATCCAATTTTAAAGAAATTAGGTGCCATGTGGCACAAGGTAGTCTTCTTGGTCCCCCAAGTTTTTATCGTCTACATTAATGATAAGACTGGCATTGACAACGTTTATGAAATCCTGCTTTAAGCAGATGATAGTGCCAATGGCATACAGGAACGTAGCCAGGATTTTGAAAGGTGGGGGGGACGTTATGCGAGGTACGTAGAACCCCATTGGAGGGGGGGGGGGTCCAGGGGCAAAGCCCCTCGGAGAGTAGCGATCTCTGAAGGTTTTTATGGTTGTTTTGAGATGATAAAGTGAAAATTGCAATAAACGCATCATAAATAATATTAGTAGACCTAACAATAATTACATAAAACTTAACAGTGCTGGTGGATCCAGAAATTCAATAGAGAGGTAACCCAGGGAGGAACTCTTACAGACAGAGGAATCACCCACCTCAGCCTCACCATGGTTAGGGCTGAGGTAAGGAAATTTATGATTAGGACACGTCTAGATGACTGGAAATTACACTCTCAGACTTAGATTTGGATAGGGGGCCTATATTATTTTTTTTTTTTCATAAACAAAATTAGGGGTAGGGGGGAGGAGTTTGAATTCACCACTGCTTAAAACATTCTTTATATAATCATAATAACGAAACATGGGTATATAAAAAAAGATCACACCCTAAAAACAAATTGATGCATTCTCGCCTCATCAGCAGTCACTAAGACATACCCTGAGTCAGGTGTCGACTCGATGGAGTTTCAATGTCATACCCAGGAAGGGCGCAATCTGTTTCGAAAGGTGGAGGTGGGGGGAGGGGACATTTCGTAAGTCGACACACCCCTCAGGCCCAGCATGGTTGGGGCCGAGGTGTGACAATTTGAGTAAATAGTACCTCTAGATGACCAGAAAATGACATTTAGTAAAAATTCATCATCATTACATCACTATTTGATATACCCAAACAAACAACAAATTTCTCATCATCTTTTATCAGGGATTTTCGGCAACCATAGAGATCTTATTAATATGTGTGATGTACCATAAAAAATAAAGCTTAAAAACATTGTTTTTGAGTATGTACTTTACATACTTAAAAACCGTGAATTCGTAACCA